CCGTAGTCCTTGTTTCCCCAGGCGTGAAACTCCCCGTTCTGCAGCTCCACCAAAAAGCCACCATCCCACGTAGACCAAGCCCGTTTCAGGCCGTGTTTCTGCCCGGAGGCCTTGATGTCGGCGGGGATCTGGGCGCCACATTTTGACCTTCCCCAGGCCTCCAGGCTTCCGTCCCTCAGCTGAGCCAAAAAGGCAACGTAGGTGCTCCAGACTCCTCCGGAGGCCATGGCCACAAGGGCGGACAGGGGTGCCGGAAGCGCCCAAGGATGAAAAAAGGGTGCGCCTGGCCTGTCTACCATGAAAACTCCACACGTAAGAACTGTTGTTTATGAAGTTGTCCATGGTCCATACTTACCAAGTTATTCAAACTCTATATGAATAATGCTGCATCATGCTTGTAAGATCTTGTAAGTGTCACCTTGGCGGTGGGACGGTGCTTGTGTCATTTAGGCCAAAGACTGACCGCAAAGGCCTTGCCGATGCGAAACGGCCGAAAAGGAGACACACAGTTACTGGAACATGCTCAGCTGTCAGTGGTCATTCAAACTGTACAAATCGCGGTTGGTTCCACGTTTTGCACTCAGCAAATCCATGATGTTGCTCATTACTTACACCTACTATAATGCATCATGCCGGAATGTATGTCATCATCGTTTCACCCATTTGACCTGCATTCGCTCAGAGTTCGAAGTCCACTTGGTCCACTTGATCGACCAACTCTCTCACCATCGGATCAACTGCCTGACACAAAGCGATCCGCCAACCTTGGTAGGATCAGCTGACCATCGAGATCTGCAGAAGTTCATGTCATGTGCGTTGTGACTAAGTCTAGAAACACATCGCGAAGAACATTCGACTCCCGGACAGCTCAAGCCCAAAAGGACACTTCTGTTCCAAGACCTCTTTCCACACGTGTTTGTCTTATTCTTTGGGGTGGTGCTTTGTTTCAGTGCCTGGATTCACCGGTTCTCGCCGCTTCATCCCCGGGTCCGCTCGGCCAGGGTCCGAAGGCTCGGCAGAAGATCTTCTTGGCCAACCGGCAACTTGTCGTGGAAGCCGGTTTAGAGAGTTTTTCACGTGGGAATCTTGAAGAACAAACACATAAACTGTAGGGATTGTTGAAAACACTGATTTTTTCCACCCATCCTAAAGATCGATCTCCATGAAGTACCATTTTGGATGCCCAAAGGCATCCACGATGCGTCACCCACATAGAAATGGCTTCTATCAGCTCTAAGACTGATTTTGGCTTGTTGGATCGGCCCCCCCCCTCGGCCTAAGCACGCTGAGCTGGCGAAGGATATGCTGCTACCTGCTACTCCTGATAGTCCTTAGATGTCCTTGGTCCTTCTAACTCTACCAATCCGTCTCATGATCGCGAAGATTTCGCGTCATTCGCTTCACATCGGTTCATCCTCGCCCCAGGCGACCCTGAGTGCCTGACATGGCGCCACCACGAGAAGAAACAGTGAAGAGAGCCCAACCTCAGCAGGATTTTGTTCAAATAATTTCCATGCAAAAAAAGAACCTACCCCTTGTGAAGCGGAGCCAGTTGGGCACAATTCCAAGGGTCCCCAATGTTGAAGACCTTTTCAACACCTTTCCAAGACCCACATCTACCCCCTAAGTCTCCAAATGTCCGGGTTTCAGGACTGTCTCCTTCCTAAGTCTCCAGTCTCCAGATGTCCTAAGAGCCCCTACAGTCTGAGATCCACCCCAAGCACTACAATCCCCCTGAGAACACGGACCGGCAAAAACCGTGACTGGAAGTGGTCGTACTTGGCAGGTGGAACTTGTTCTGCCAAGGAATCAAAGATCCCAGTTACCCCAGAAGAGTTTCTACCCATTGAGGAGCCAAGCGCAATGCTTGGGCTCTGACTTTCTTCCTAGGGCCCATGTTGACCTCTTTCTTTCTTTCTTTCTTGCAAGGATAAGACATTTCTTGGGTGGTGGGTGAAATAGAGGTCACCCAGGGCTCTAGATTTATCTTGTAATTCCAACAGATTCTTATGTGCTGTGGGCGCTTGGACAGCGTCTGATCTTCTCCGAGCGAAGCTTGACCAAGTACACTTGGAGGCCAAAATTATGCCCGAACAAGCGAGACCTTTGGAATGTCGGGCCCCCCCTATGATGCAATTAGCTATACACACCCTTGTAAGTACATGGACGATCATACCGGTACGAGTACCACACACTTCATCCTACGAAACTCCTGAGCTGCAGGAACTGTTTGATCTCTCTCCTCCGAAACCACCCGAATGAATTACCGGCCGCACCACACCGCTGTGGGCTAGGACTAGGAACGCCAACCCGACCAAAACATCACCTGATCGAACAAATAAGTATTCCAACAAAGGATGAATGACCCTATAGACTATCCCGGTACCCCAGGTTACGGGTCCTATTTACGGTCTATAACCTGTCTTTATAGAAAGATCCACCCATTGGCGAAGGTCTAGCGGACACCCAGTTGGACCACCGAGTCGGAGGCGACTCGGCCGAGTCTGGACTGGTGACCCCGAGTTGAACACGCGTCCGTATGATCGGTCATGCATGGCCCACGTAGTCGGTCCACTGGACCTTTGTCATCCATCTTATTCTTACCCCATCTTCTCCTGCCAAGAAGGACCTTCCTCTGAGGTCGCCACGAAGAACACCAACACCTGCACTAGTGAAATCCATTGAAATCCAAGGCTTTTGGCTTAGATGTAGCCCTGGTAGGGCTAAAGAGCACTTCTGCAGCTAGTGTTGTATAGCTAGACCGTGTTTTTCATTGTCGCTCGCTCGCTCGCTCGCTCTCTCTCTCTCTCTCTCCCCTCTCCTGTCTTCAAATATCTTCGAGCATTTGTCGGCCCTCTGTTGCCAGGAGTTTTAGCAGCACCTATTGCTCATTTTCCTATGCACCTATAGCCTATGCCCCTATGACATCATCATCATGGAGGATTCAAGGATGTTTGACATACCTGCCGCCGGACACCTCCAATCACCCGATCACGGCCGATGTGATGGGGTATAGATAAAGTCTGATTTCGGTGAGACCAAATCCGATGGAAGTCTCCCCAGGACTTCTTAGTGGCTAACAAGATATAAACCCTCCAAAAAGGTAGTTAGAAGTTGTAAAAAAGAAGGATGAGAACCCAGACTTGGTTCAAGGGAACGTCGACGGGTGAAGATCATGGATCTCCCCACTATAGATAGTTCGCTTAAAATCAGTTCTTGGAGAGGGGACACATTAATTATTTTCCAGGACCCCCGTCGAAGTTCAAAGACTATGAGGGCATCGCCAAAGTGTTCAGGAACTCCTAGAAGTCAGGTAATTCCGGTCCGACCGCTTTAAGCACTCAGAGGATCCGGTCTTTGTTCTGCCTGATTTCTTGGACCGACCAACCAACGCCGAACCCTACAATGTCTCGCTTGAGCAGCTCGAGCAAGTCTGGATCATATCTCGTGCGTACATGTCTTGATCGGTGAAAGAGAATCAATGTTCCATATCATATCCGCACCCTGGGAAGCCTGGGAAGCAAAGGCAGCCAGATTCCGCGCTCCTTTGGAGCTACTCATCCTGCTTCTGCTCGTGTGTTGGCATGCCAATTCCATTGCCAGCATAGCCCGGCGTTGCGCCAGCGGTTGGCTTGGTCAATTTGACGATGCGCGTTGGTCCGTGTTGGTGAGAAATCTCAGGTCCCAGAAGTCAAGGTCAGCAGTCATGTAGGCGGTCCTCTGCGGACGGCTTAACTGAAGTGAAGGCTAACCTCATGAAGGCTATTTATGATGCACCAAATGTAGTAGAATATAATCTTAAATGAAAAACCGCACAAGGGTGTCTCTGAAACACGTTCAAAGAACGCTTTTAAACACGCTGAATGCGGGTACCAAGCTCCAAGCACGTGTTTATGTCCAAAGCGGGGGTCTGAAAACCCGAGTGCCTCAACAAAGGGTCGTCTTCCACATCCTTCTGAAAAGGGACCACTGCAAATCACTGCAAACCTTAAAAGTCACCCCCATCATGTAGTCTGTTGGCTGCACTCGTAAAGTTGCCATCACCCCATGTGACTGCAAGTAGTCATGTCGTCACCGTCGTCACCCCATCATGTAAATGAGTCAGACCCTGCCCCTCCTCTGGTCTCCAGAATGGATGTACCATACCTCCAGCCCTGAGAGGGCTTTGATGAATCCACAAAGCGGTGGATAGAGTTGCCATAACAAAGCCGCGAGTGGAATCCTCCAGGCCCATTTGTTTTCTTCTGTTTCCTTTTTTTTCCGTGGACTCCACCACTGGCTCTTGAGGCTGCAGTGCAGCCTTGCATGGGATGTTGTTGGTGATTTGTATATAGGTTTCACAACACCAGTAAGTATA